GCAAATTTAGCGCGTCTTGCCCTGGGTGTCACGGTTTCGTGTTAACCCTTAGGGGACCAAAGCTATTTATTTCCAGTTTACACACTGCCGAGTCCAGACTGTTTTTCAGACGAAGAGAAATTTTTTACTGAAAATTTTTCTGTCAAATATAGAGAAGAGATATTCATTTTTTAAAAATATAAAACTTCGTTGATATATTTGCCAGATTTTACGGTTTTATTGATTTCTGCCGCGCGTATGGCGGCATTGGACCGTTAAGGGTTAAAGAAAACACGAAGTTTTACAAAGTATAATAATATTAAGAGTTACCGATATAATATTGCAATGGCGTTTACAGTATTTTTATTGAAAAAAATAATACGTTCTCTACACTATATACATTTTTCATCGATCCTATCCGATAGTTCCTAACTCGAATAGCCATTTGTAGCCAATCTAAACTCGCAGTACCCGTTACGAGATATCTCGCAGCTGACAGTTTTGGTACAGACGCTTTTACTACGAGATATCTCGTAGTTGGCAGTCAATGGGTTAATCGGTATTTTCGAGCGCCCTCGGCAGCGACCTTATAATCGTCGTCGGGTTTGCGGAAAGAAACGACACCTTCCGAGAACCCGTCATTAAACGGATACGCCGGCTCGCCGAACGTATCTTTATCCCTACCACGAGCTTCGGATACCGTCTAGAAAAATATTCGCGTCTCGAGATCCGCGCGGAAATAATTGCGCGATCGCGCCGGGAAACAAATAATCAACGGTTATTCGCGGCGAACGATGCGATAAATTAATTATCGAGATCGGTGCATAATATCTTGTTCGGCTCCTGTAATGTCTCCCTTACCGACGCTCGGATCGTTCACTAAAAATGGCTAATTTGGGAAGAGGAAATACGATTGTTCGAGCCTTGCGGCTCATTTTTATAATTGTGGACAATTTACTATAAAAATATGAGCGTAAGGCTCGAACAATCGTATCTCCTCTTCTCGAATTGTCCATTTTTGTGGTCAATTTGGGCGTCGATTAGAGAGACATTACCGTACAACGTGTTCGACGATAGAGAATTCGGGCATTGAAAATTCGGATAATCAAGATTCTACTGTACACGCTACATATAGTAATATCTCTCGAATCAACGCTCGGATTGTCCACAAAAATGGACAATTTGGAAAGAGGAGATACGATTGTTCGAGTCTTGCGGCTCGTTTTCATAATTGTTGACAATCAGAAACTNAGATTGTCCACAAAAATGGACAATTTAGGAAGAGGGGATACGATTGTATTCGAGCCTTGCGGTTCATTTTTATAGTCACGAATTGTCAAGAAGTATAAAAACGAGCCGCAAGGCTCGAACAATCGTATCTCCTCTTCTCGAATTGTCCATTTTTGTGGTCAATTTGGGCGTCGATTAGAGAGACATTACCGTACAACGTGTTCGACGATAGAGAATTCGGGCATTGAAAATTCGGATAATCAAGATTCTACTGTACACGCTACATATAGTAATATCTCTCGAATCAACGCTCGGATTGTCCACAAAAATGGACAATTTGGAAAGAGGAGATACGATTGTTCGAGTCTTGCGGCTCGTTTTCATAATTGTTGACAATCAGAAACTATGAAAACTAACCGCGAGGCTCGAATAAATATCGAACAATTAATCGTGTCTCTTCTTCCCAAATTGCCCATTCTTGTGCGCAATCTGGGCATCAATTAGAGAGACGTTACTGTACCTCGCTTGGTACTCGTTGGTATCGTAAAATATAGCCGTCGTTCGATCGCAACGCGACGGTCGGCGGAACAGTTTCGAAGATAAACGTCTTCGCGCTGGAAAAATGTGGGAGCGCGCGTACGCGGAGACGCGTCGCGATATTATGTATATTGGCGCGCGTCGTGCAAGATTCATCGAATACAGGATGCCACGTGCAGGTGCATCGCTGCGACGCCGCTTAACCACCGTAGATAATTACTAATCGTGTTATGTCATCGTGGTCGCATGCGTTCGCTCGCCTGAACGGTTCGCCGACGAGGATACGGGGTGTCTTCGAAGCATCGATCGAAATCGTTTCGTTCGCGTCGACGCGTCTGGAAAATCGGACGTCGAATGTTCGTCGATGAATTTCACGGGGTTCGCCGCGTAGGTGCGCGTGTGCGCGCGCGCGTGCACGATGCAACGGTGTCGCAACGCGTCGCGGAGAAAACGACGCGCAAAAAGGGGCCACTGTATCGCGCGTGTAACTCGATAGATGAAATCTTGTTGCAACGGGCTGCTACGATTACGTGAAAAGGAAACGCCGATCTTCTCTCTCTCTCTCTCTCTCTCTCTCTCTCTCTCTTTCTCTCGTCGGGCCCGGTGCACTCGATTTAACCGTTTGCCCGTGATAGACGATCGATCCTCTCGCGCCGCCTGTGGTCGTCGTTTCGCTGCTAACCGGAAATAACAGAATAGTATTTCCAGCGCAAAAACCGCGCCTCGTCGAGCTCGTAACGCTCGATCGTTAAGACCGGCAAAAAAATGAGAGGAAAACGAATCGGCGAGGAAAAGAATCGGCTCGATTCCAGACGCGGTATCTTTGTTATCCGAGTCGGACGATATTTTGCTCGCGCTACGATCCGACTCTGCGATAACGCCGATCGCGGACCGTACATAATTCTAGAAAGAGTTTACGGGCAATTGCCGGTAATTAAAGTACCATTTCGCCGTAGCATCCGCCGTTTCCCTTTAATCGCGTCCGCGGTGGCGCCAACCGAACATACTCGCGCTCGCGCACGTACTCGCGCGCGCATCGTCGTCGATCGTTAACATTCAACGCGTAGCCGGATTATGCCGCGATGCACCGCGTTGCGCCGTATTACGCTGCATCGCATAGCGTCGCGTTGCAACTACGTTACGCGTTCCCGTGAACGCGGGCGTGTGCACCGTGCACCGTGACAATCGACCGGCTGCCGGGTATCTACGGGGTGTTTCGAACGTACCCCCGACGCGACGCGACGCGACGCGACGAGATTATGCAGCCGCAATTTGTACAGCGATCGCGTGCTGTCCGTGCGTCATGAACGCGCGCCTGTGCACGCGGTGCATCTTCGAGCACGAGCATCGAGCACAGACTGGTTCGCTCGTAATCGATCGCATCCTTTCTTTCTAAAATCAATATAGAAATTGTTCTCTCGCCGCGCCGCGCCGCAAGAAACTCTCGGATAGCGGTACGCCGCGCGCGATACCAGATAACGAGCTCCCGGCGGCGCATTCAATAATTTTGACGGGTGTAATTACCGGAGATGGCTGCTCGTTTGAAATCGTAAATCATGTTGCAGATTCCGCGCGATGCGTACGCATGATGCAACAGCGATCGCAGGCGCCTCTTCCGATGGATCGGAGGCGCCTTCTTTACTGGACGGAGGCGCCTTCTCCGAGTTAAAGAGGCCTCTGTTCCAGGCCGCCGTATTCCGAATGAATCATTTCCGAAGCGTGTGCGAGGGAAGGCTTTCGATTCGATTATTTTCGCGTCGCGAACACGCCGTCGAACCCGCGGTCCGACGAACCCCCGTCCGTGTCCGCGCTTCTCGTTCTCTCGCGGGTTCTCCGGTTTCTCGAAAATTCGATTCGCTCGATTTCTCCGTCGACGGCGGCTCGTTTCGAGTCGCCGATCCCGCGCCGGAAGACCGGACACGCGGACGCGCGTGCAAAAAGTCGCGAACGATAGGCGGAATGCGCTGGCAAACTTCTCGGAACGCCGAACGACGCGGATGAATTCAGGGAAAATCCTCGACGAATTAGTCATCCGGTGAATCATGTGACCGGTTTCATTCTTTTATTTGGTTGAACGAGCTCGGTAGCAGCAACAACGGTGTCGCAGCGAACCGAATACAGATGTACGGGCGAAAGAATATTTCGAGGGGTTTTTGGAGGAAGGAATATATCGTGGTCGAACGTATTATATTATGCGGCGCGGTAATCCGGGGTACGGGGGAAGAGGAGAAGGCCGAGGTATCGCGGGAAAGGTATGCGTGTAAAGAAAGTGCCGGGTTTGGAGAAACGTACGTCAGGTTATCCGGTAAGAGAAGAAACGAAATTCGATGAGACGACCGAACGAGTCCCAAGAAAAAATAAAGACACGATTCCCCGAAGAATCGTAGAAGGGACTGGGTAAAAACAAAATTGGACAAATTAACGTAGGAATGGACTATCGGGGAAAGATGGATGGGAGATAGAGGAGAGTCGAGAATAGTGTAAGGGTAAAGGGGGGTAAGGGGGTAAAGGGGGTAAAGGGGGGAGAAGGGAGACCAAATCGAAAACTCTAGGCACGCCATATAATCTGTAGCTAGATTTCGTAGGCTTCGTTTCCCCGTTAGATGGAAAATGAACAAGAAAGGTGCAGAGTGTGCGATAGACGGGAACGGGAGATAGACGGGAGATGCGTCGATGGAAAAAGTATAGTGGCGTCTCCCTAACCGACGCTCGGATTGTCCACTAAATTGGATAATTTCGGAAGAGGAGATACGATTGTTCGAGCCATGCGGCTCGTTTTTACAATTGTGGACAATTTATAACTATAAAAATAAACCGCGAGGCTCGAACAATCGCATCTCCTCTTCTCAAATATATCCATTTTTGTGCGCAATCCGGGCGTCGATTAGAGAGACATTACCGTATATAGCGTGGAAGTACAATAACGTCTCCCTAACCGTCGTTCGGATCGTGCACAGAAACGGACAATTTGGGTGGCGAAGATACGATCGATCGAGTTTCGCAGCTCGTTTTTTTCCAAATTCTCCATTTTCGTGGGCGATCCGAGCGTCGATCGGAGAGACATTGCTGTAAAATGGACGATAAAGGTAACGGAGAAACGAAAGTAAAATAAATACGAGACGGTTATCCTATTCGGTTGTCGCGTCGCGTCGCGAGATTTTCATCGTATTTTCGTGGATAAAAGTGGAATAATTCTCGGAATAATTCTAAAAGAGAGATTAAAGAGGACGCGACGACACGCGCGTATGTTTCAGGAGGAGTGCAGGAAGAGGATAGCCGAGTGCACGATGAGCGACGGGGCGAGCACACCGGTATGCGGCAGCGACGGCGTTACGTATTCGAGTCAGTGTCGGGTCATCTCGAAGCAGTGTCAAGGCATGTCCATCCTTATCAAACACACTGGTACCTGTCCAGGTAAGGCGGTGCTATCCGTTCTCCTCCGGTGGCGCGCGTAGGCGAACCGTGGAACCGTGGAAGCGTAGAAATCGAACGTCGGAGCGAGATATCTCCCTCGTTCGAGATCGCGTCTACGTCGCGATCGTCCGAGAAGGAACGCGTAATCGAACCTGTTCATCCACCGGCAGACACACCGGCGTGCTTCTCCGCGAGGTTGACCGCCAGGCCGGGCGCGCGACCAGTCTGCCGGCCCGACGGCGCTTACGCGCCTGTGCAATGTCACGAGGAAACCGGGTACTGTTGGTGCGTGACGCCGCAGGGCAAACCGCTGCCCGACACCTCGGTAAGACACCAAAGACCAAGATGTTTGAAACCCGGTCCCAGATCTGCTGCTTCCACCAGGAGCGGGCAAGGGAGGCGCTCGCCGAGCTGGAAGCAGCGAAGGCAGTACAACAGTAAGCACAGGAACACCTGCGATCGCGCCGAGAAGTCCAAGTTCAACGGGAACTTGATCGAGAACTTCAAGATCGAATACAGGCGGACCAACATCTCCACCGACGGTGAGATTTATTTCGTCGGTGTTCTCGGTTTCGCTTCGTCGGTTTCGCCGTCGAGTCGACGCCACGCTGTCGTAATCGTATTCGCGTTTCTCTTTTCCCTTCGAACGCTATCGATCCTCCGAATCGTCCGACCGGGACCGCTAGAGTAGGATCGACGTTCTCTAAGAAAAAATCTCTATCGCCGTTCCGATCGATCCGCGTACCCGTTCGACGCGACTTTTGTAACGATCGGCCGACCGACAGGTGACAAGAACGTGGAGAGGGTGTTGTCGTGGAAATTCGTCGCTCTGGACAAGAACGGGGACGGATACCTGGACAGGGCGGAGTACAAGGAGCTGAGGAGGCTCGCGAAGAAGGCGGTAAGGCCGAAGAAATGTGCTCGCACGTTCGCCCGCACGTGCGACCTAAATCGGGATTTGAAACTCTCCAGGCAAGAATGGGGTGCCTGCCTCGCGAACGACTTCACTCGTAAGTTTAACACGTGGTGCACGTGCTTCTCACTCGAGATAAGGGAGAATCCGAATCGCCCCGCGCCTGCTCCCAACGCTTTTGGCACCCGTGCCTGCCTCGCGTTCGCCCGAAAGCGAGCGCAGCGGTGCTCGCGGAGCGAACAGCTTGCTATATTTTGCAACCGGTGACCGGACTCGAACTCTCGAGAGCTTCTCTTCCTCGGCCGATCCAGGCTTTCGCGCGGAAACGAGACTCCGACGTTCCAAACGCTGATTCGAATTCGTAGCTTTTTCTCGCCGACCGACGAAACGACTTCCGTCGGTCCGTTAGAGTCGAGCGTTATCGTTTCGAAACGTCTCGAAGCGGACCAATCTGTGTACGTATGTATATATATATACAGTCCGAGGGTGTCCCAAAAGTGTCTCGCAATCCGGAAATGGGAGATTCCCGAGATCGTTCGAAGCAACGTTTTCCTCAGCGAAAATGCAATCCGCGGCTTCGTTTAGGAATCGTTAACGAAAAACAGTGACCGATGAGAGGCGAGATCGGCCGGCGCGAGGCGGTCCAGCCAACGGATTCGTCGGTCACCGTTTTTCGTTAACGATTCCTAAACGAAGCCGCGGATTGCATTTTCGTTGAGGAAGAAGTTACTTCGAATGGCCCGAGGAACCTCTCCCATTTGCAGATTGCGAGACATTTTTGGGACACCCTGTGTATCGAACGCGTACGATCGCGTCGTTTCTCGCTACCTATCGGAGCTCTCGTGTCCGCGCGGAGCATAGACCTTCGAAAGGCGTCCGTCCTATCGACGATGGAAACGATCGGTCCAGCGTCCGATCCAGAAAGTTCTAATCTCGAAAGCAGCTCTCCAGAGTACGGCTCCGAAGCCGACGCGCGGCAGCCGGACACATCCGCTTGGTTGGTGCTTGCGCGAGAACGATCTTCGATCCTTTCGTTGAAAATTCGTCGAAATTCTCTTTCAAGTTTTTCATCGACGACCGCTTCGGGACGGATAGACCGGAGACTTTGCCGTTCACCGGCGAATTATCAAATCCGGCCGCAAACATTGCTGAAACCGTTTTCCTGGTAGGCGCGAGAGAACCCAAGGTCTCAGCCGAGGTTCCACGGTGCATAAATCAGTTTTGAACGCGGCGATATTTGCGAATCGGCGCCACGCTGTGTTGCGCCACGAAACTCGCGTCTCCCTCGGTGAGAGGGAACTCGGTTTCGACGGCGTTACATCGATCCGAGAGGATCGTCGCGGCGATCGGCGACGATAAAAGGATCGAAAAGGTCGCTCTCGTCCTAAATAATCCCGCGAGACGATCTCGTCGATTCCGACGCGACGAGACGCGACGCCGCGCCAGGGTCGTCGCGGCACTTTCTTCTCGCTTCTCTCCGATTCTTATCCGTGTCCGCGGTTAACGGACGACGCCGCGTTCGACGTAACCGCGACCGCCTCTAATTATTCCGTCATTAGCGAGGAACCGAAGTGGCGCGAAGAGCGTCGCGTCTCAGACACGGTTACATTTTATGGCGATCGTAAATTGAGATTAACAGCAACGCTCGTACTTGCACAGCCTAACACGTGCTAATCCATCTACTCGCGTCGCATTGTAATCGCCTACGGGCTGTTACACCGCGCGCGCTCCCTCGCCTCCTCGCTTTCCGGGCGAAGGTTGCTTTTTTTTCACGCTTTTACTTACCTTTACGCGATTCCGTCTCTTTTTCGTACGCGGACGAGATCCTTGGAACGCCGCGCCGCGCCGCGCCGCGCCGCGCCGCGCCTCTCGCGGCCGTGGAAACGCGAATTTCGCGAACAGTCTCGACTCGAGCGCGGCGCTCGAGGATGATACCGGAAGACGGTCGTCGCGGTCTTTGTCTCGGCGTCTAAATCGTGGCATAAATTACAAGCGTCGCCTGGACAGGATGTCGCGCGCGCGCGAAGGGCCGTCGTCTCTATGGCGGGGCCCGCTTAACATTCGTGAATCCTGCCGGAAGTTTGCCCACACTGTGGGCAATCCTCCGGTTGCCGAGGAATTGAAGCAATTGACCTCGTGTACGTACACGGATACGCGCTCGCGACCGGCCTACAAGAACGACCGCCCGCGCTGCTCCTCGCTCCGACCGTTCGTCGGTTCGTAAATCCGCGCCTACGCGATCTATCAGATCGTTTCTTGCGCGTAATATGAACATATTACCGTACGTTGTACTTTGAAAGAGAAACTCGTCTCTCTCGCGCGCCGCGCAGCCGCCCCGAGACCGCCGCCGCGAGGCCGTCGCGATCTTCCGTTTAACGCGGCAACGATCGAATCGATCTCGTCCGCGAACCTAATCCGCGGACGTTCCAATTACCTAAACGTGGTAATTGGAATGCCGATCGGAATGCCAGAATGTGTCGAAGCGTCGAAAGAATTGGACATCTTCGATCCGCGACGCGAGCGTCTGGCTTTCTCGCTTTATTTGCATCCACGCCTAAACGCTGCTAACGATAACGATCGAACAAGCGTAGTGTCCGACACATAGAATTGTGGTCAATTGCATGTCAATTATCGTGCTCGTGCGACCCAGCGTCGACTCGTACGACCTCAGAAATCGTCAATGTCTGGTCTAATGGTTCTCATCGTTATTTATTATTATTTGTCGACGTTCGATGGAATAGATACACGGAATCGGCTTGTGCTATTTGGAGAAAGATCGAAGCGAATGCTTTTAGTCGTTTCGAGATACTGTAATGTCTCTCTAATCGACGCTCGGATCGTGCAGAAAGATGGACAATTTTCGAAGAGGAGATACGATTATTCGAGCCTCGCGGCTCGTTTTTATAATCGTTGACAATTCGTGAGTATAAATATGAACCGTAAGGATGGAACAATCGTATCTCCTCTCCCTAAATTGTCCATTTTCGTGGACAATCTGAGCGTCGATTAGAGAGACGTTACTGTAGCGTCTCGGAAAACCGGAGAAACGCGTTCTTTCGTTTAACGGCTAACCGAATCGAGTCGTTTTCTTTGATCAATTTACGGACGGACGTAGAATAACGAGGGGCCACGCGAATTTCCATAATTCTGCACGATCGATCGCTTGCCGGCTAAATCCTGTCGCACGAGTACATACAGAGGGTCCCGAAAATGTATTCCTGAGGTGATTCGAAGCAACTTTTTCCTTTGCGAAAATGTTCTCCGAGGCTTCGTTTACGAGTTATTAACGAGAAACACTGACCAATAAGAGGGGAGCTCGGCTGGCGCTCGGCGGTCCAGCCAACGAGTGCACGGAGCCCGGTTCCGCTGATTGGCTCGGCCGTCTCGCGCCAAATGATCTCGCCTCCGATTGATCACTGTTTTTCGTTAGTAACTCGTAAACGAAGCCGCGGATTGCATTTTCGCTAAGGAGAAAGTTGCTTCGAATGACCTCGGGAATCCCCTATTTTCGGATTGCGAGACATTTTTGGGACACCCTGTATATCTTTCGGTAACTGGTACGCGGGTAAAAGAAAGTACAAGGCGATTTGAAACGATTTTGAAACGTTTAAAAACTTCGATGCTTTCCGACGACGGTCGAAGATTGCCCTGTGCTTCGAACGTACGAGCTCGTATGGGAAGACGAGACGTTTTGCCGGGTGCGGGAGATTGCTGCCTGAAACTCTGTCGTTTGCGCGTAACAAAATTAGAGGCAATATCGAATCGAATGTTCGCCACCGCTCGCTGCTCTGCTAGAAAACCTGCGATGCGCGAATGACAAACAAACATTGTACATATAGGTAAGGCCGGTCGGCTGAGTGACATCATTGTTATCATTTAGTACGTTTGTTCTTGTCGCTGAACCCCGCAGACGAGCGCCCCGAGGTCCCTGAGGCCCAGAGGACCCGGGCCATGGACCAAGGTGAGTCCTAGTTCTGCACATCCACGGCACTGTCGCGTTACCTCCGCGACCTTCTGTTTCGAATCTCTTTCTTCTCGATCCATACTGTTCGATTACTGCGAGGATTCCTCGACGAGAGTCGCTCTCAGACTTTCAAATCGACCAGTCGTTTACGGAGCGATGCGAAAAATAAAAAGAATCGGGAGCTCCGAAACTCGATGGCTGCAATTTTTGGCGATTGTCGTTTCGCATAATTGCGTCACAGAACCAGCCGTTTAGTTCTCGGACGCCGAGAATCGCTGAAACCTTATTGTGTGCGAAACAAAGCGTTTAAAATCGGAAGGAATAATCGATAATCGATAAGAATCCCTGCAATGATCGAACAGATGATTTTGCTCAAAAATTTATTTTAACCTACTCTATACATACATATATGTATATGTATAATAGAGACACCAAAGTACAACAGTCCAAATAACAATTACGTCGATTGTTGGTCAACGTGGCAATGCTATTATCTTCTAAGCATGTGCTTGTAGAAAGAATCGCGAATCACTGTGCGATAATCATCGACGCGGTCGAAACTTTGTTACCGTCTCTTAATTTTGTTTCGCGTCACCACCCATTCGCCTCGTTGTTGCGTTCGATTTGTAAATAATACGAGAACTTCGGAACGGAGCGAAGTTTACCGCGGCTTACATTGTATTATAATCGATCATCCGTAGACGCTTTTTGGTCTAATTTCATGCATGCGCTGTAAAAAAAAAGTTCAACACGCGACGAGAAAACGGATATACGAGATCATCGAAATGCGTGTGTCTGTGTGCGAACGGTCCTTGTGTTTGTCGCGGGTGGTGACGGTGTTACTTTTTTTTCTTCAAAATTTTACACAAACGAAAAGCGTACGGTCGCCCGTGTGTAAATACGAATTTCTTTTTTCCAAATTAACCGCTCTATTAACAAACCACGAGTATAAAAAATGACCAGTTGTACAGAGAAAGAGATTTTTATTTTAGCTGTACCATAGTAAAATTCTGTACGAAGTTACACGCAACGTTTTGTACAGAAATGTTTAACGTCGAGAGCAAGGAGGACGGTTTTTACATCTTCCACAGTTTCATATCCGACGACTATCCCCGGGAGGACAGAGATTCGTTTGCAATAATCTTCTTTGTTTCTCACAGTGTTGAAAGGAAATTCTGGACCGGTACATTCGCGACCGACGTTCAACGATGACCCTGCGGAAACGAAAGAGGACAGCGATGGTCGGTGATTCGAGAATCGGATCTATGCGACTCGATAGTACGTTTTTCTGTATAATTTTAAATGTAACTTTTGCAGCGAACGATTGTTTAACCGACAGAAGATCGGTATTGGAAGACGAGAGACAGCATTCTCAAGAGAAATTCTATGTACCTGAATGCACTCCCGATGGAAGGTATCATCGAGTGCAATGTTATTCTGGCTATTGTTGGTGCGTCTACCAAGATACCGGCAAACCGATCCCTGGAACATCTTCTAAAGACCGTACTCCAAATTGCAATCCTGTGCCTACCCCTAGCAGACCCATGAAGGGTAATTAATCGATGAACAACTTTGATCTCGTTTCGAGTAGCCGGCGAAACGAACGTAAACGTTATACAGGATTACTCTGGCCGCAGGTTGTCCCGAGCAAAAGAAACAATTGTTTCTGAGAGATCTGATGGACCTGATGCAGAAGAAGATGAAAGCCTCTGGAACGGATTCCGACGAGACAACGGCCAAATGGCAAGCTTCTAAGGAGGAGCAAGTAGCCACTTGGCATTTCGTTATGCTCGATAAAAACAAAAACAAGGCATGTTTCGTTGTTCGATATATTAGGTTGGGGAATAAGTTTGTAGCGTTTTTATATTTTCTTTTATTTCGTAACGATTTTTTGCTGTTCGACAAAGCGTATAATATTCGTTCGATAGAGCTCTTTCCGCTCTACGAAACTGTGCCGATCGTCTTTTTGAGTAATTTAATTTTTTATTACTTTCGAGGCTTGGAAATGGAATATCCAGGAGGTAAAAAGCAACGTTTTCGACAGCTTTCGCTTTTCGTCGAGGCCAAAAAGCTGATGAAGCAGCCCGGGACATTTGCAACGTATACGGAGAAAGTTCAAAAATGGCGATTTTCACGTCGTCACACCCCGCAGCGGAAGGCCTTCTGAATTCGAATTTAACCCAGGCTCCCAATTTTTCGGCAAATCCCATTGAACGAAGATGATTGAGAATCGTTTCATATGATCGCAGTTCATTTTTTCGGCCAATTCACGACTCGTTTACCGATCGTCCTCCTTCAAAAGTGCTTCGAAACGCTCCTCGTCGAATTCGGAAGGTCTTCCATTTTTCGCCATTTTTGAACTTCGCAAACCATTTCCGTGCTGTAGACTCGCCTACGACACCTTCTCCGTATACGTTGCAAATGTCCCGGGCTGCTTCGGCAGCTTTTTGGCCTCGACGAAAAGCGAAGAAGAGAAGCTGCCGAAAATGTTGCTTTCACCTCCTGGATATTCCATTTCCAAGCCTCGAAAGTAATAAAGCATTAAATTACTCAAAAAGACGATTGGCACAGTTTCGTAGAGCGGAAAGAGCTCTATCGAACGAATATTGTACGCTTTGTCGAACGGCAAAAAATCGTTGTAAAATAAAAGAAAATATAAAAATGCTACGATCTTATTCCTTTAAAACAATACTTTATTCGATGTACGAGACTAACGGTGATAGCTTATGTGTTCGTTTTCGTCTAGGTTCTGGAGAGGAAAGAATGGAAAAGTTTTCGTACAATGGTGGCGAACAATAGCCGGCTTCAAAGATGCGGCAAAAGATTGCCCAGGTACTGTGATATCAACAACGACAGGAGGATCAGTATGACGGAGTGGCTCAGTTGCCTGAACGCGCAACGCCCATCGCCGTGTAAATATTTCCGCATACGTTCTTAACGTTAATCAACAAAAACAACATAAATTAGACGTCTCACGTGTATAAATGTATTTCAGCCGACAGCACGGAAAAAGCATCGACGAGCAAACCGATAAGGTTGGGTCCTAATCCATTGGATCAACTTCTTAAGAACGACGACGATTAAGAATCTATGTGATATATGTATATCGTGTATTCGTCATTTCATCGATATGTCCTTAGTTATCATTCATTTAATACATTGATCGTAACACGAGCGAATGGAACTGTTAAAGGAAATCCGGTTACAGTCAACAGAATTTTATTTGTATTTTTTTATATCCGGTGATAAAATACCATTGTCACATCGTTTTTACTTTGATATAGATGATATTTATCTGTACCTCACAGATTGGTAGATTCGATAGTGTTATTTTAGGATAATAACGAAGCGTAGTTGTAAGTATAAAAATAACGAAGTATTACGGACGCACGATCGTGTACATATTTAATATTTTCTTCTCTCGGTGCTACGCACGATACCGCTTTCTCATGACTACGACGATGCGAACAGTGAAATTAAGTCGTACCATTTGTCGATTCCACGGAACTCTCGCTAGCTGTCACATGTTTGTTGTACGCGTACAACTGAAAATTTCATCACGACTTAGACTTAGACGATTTAGGCTTATACATTTATAAGATATCATCTTACGTAGGTTCTAATCTTATCGAATCGAAGAAAATTGTAAAATTGAAATTTGCTTATTGAAATAAATCTCGTCTTTAACATGACACTGAAATAGAATTCATGATACAACTATACGTATATAATTTAATCGAACCGTATCTTGTGTTAAATTATCTACTTATCGCACCTATAGTATAAGTCGTATAAACACGATGAACGACGATATATCTATGTATATACATATGTAATATGTATGTATACGTATATAAGAAAATCTTACATCTCGTTTGCAAAGTTTGTATAAATCAGATATTTAATTTAAATACAGAACCTTATCGTTATCTACGTAGTTAACGAGAAACCTTGTACAGTTTATAAAAAATGATAAGAGATGAAAAACATGAATGGTAAAAGGGCAGTCTATATTCGTCCGGAACAGAATAAAATATGCTAGAATACGCGATCTTGGTAACCACTGTCGGCCATGCTAGAACTGGGTTTTGCTGGCCCTCCAGGTACTTGATGATGCGGATGACGTATGTGGCCGGGACGTCTTGGCGGAGCTAAGTACTCGAACATACTTTGCGTGTGCTGTGCCAACATTTTACTAAGGTCGCAAGGCATTGGATCGGTCCAGAAAAAATCATGGTTCAACGCAGAATCCGAATCGTATCTTTTCGATGGATCGAGAATCAATAGCTTATCCAACAAGTCGCAAGCGTAAGGATCCTTTAAATATGGTTTCAATCGGTCTTTGACCTGTAAAAAAACAAGAAAAAAATATATTTTTCACAATCCTAGTTACGCGTAAGCGTTGTATCTCGTATAACAACAATTACAATATTTACCTTTCGTTTTTGACCCTTGGGTAACTCCATTTTATTAAACAGCTCTAGATTTTCTACTCCGGGCCAGGATTCTGTTACTATAGAACCACATAATTGAGAAATTAATACAAGTTGTTGTTGCTCTGTGTTTCCTTGCATTATAGGTGATCTACAGGACAAGAAAATATTTAAACTTGTCCATTCGACGATTAGCAATTGCTGCGAATATTAAACCGTACCTGGTCCACATTTCAGCCATTATACATCCTGCGCCCCATAAATCTACGGGAGGGCCATAATTTCTATCGCCGAGCAATAACTCCGGTGGTCTATACCAAAGTGTAACAACTCTATTTGTATAACGATTTGGCTGGCCATTTTTGTTAGCGCTAAATGCACGGGCTAACCCAAAGTCGGCTAATTTCAATATACCATTTTTGGTTATTAGAACGTTCGCAGCCTTCATATCTCTATGTAAAATCTATGGAACAATAGATTATCGTGCAAATTATAAATTTAAAGACACACTTAAAATATATAATCTACTCGTCGGATTCATAGCTTATGTGCGCGTTTACCTTATTACTATGAATATAATAGAGACCATTTAATAATTGTTGCATAACTTTCTTAATTTCCCCTAAACTAAATTTGACATTCACGTTCGACAATAAACCAGCCAGATCGTGCTCGCAAAAGTCAAATACAAGATAAAATGTAGAACGATAGCGATTATACTGGGTGGCTGAAACAAAATTTATAATATTAATAATCTCGTATATTTCTTTTAAGGAAAGGATACCTTGTATTATTTTCGATAAATGTATTTATAAACGCGTGTACCTCGTGTCCTACATATTTCTATTAAATTTACTACATTCTCGTGCTTTAATAGTTGCAATATCCTTATTTCCCTTAAAGCAGTTATAGGAAACTGAAAGAAACAAATAATAAATTTATATAAAACAAGACGAAAATATGACTAAAATAAGTGTTTTTTAATGAAGAACTAGAGCGATCTTAATACGGCAGAGTCATACATATAGCAAAACTATGGAGAAAAATGTATTAAACAATCAGATATTCAAACATGTATATACCCCTTCCTTTTCATTGTCCATCAACACTTTTTTCATAGCTACAAATTTCTTGGTACAGTTTTTATCTCTGGCTTTGAACACCTCACTGTAAAACATTAATAATCGTTAAAAAAAGACAAAATCCTTGGGACGCGTAAAAACATAACCTATACGAGAAATAATATTCACCGAAATTGATTACTTACCCAAAGGTGCCCTGACCGATTTTCGCGACTTTTTCATATTTGGTCGATTCGTCGCAATGAGGAAAATCGAATTCCTCGATGTATTTCTCTTTTTCTTTCGTATTCATTTTGTACATTTATCACGTAAACATGGCTGCTGAAACAAAACAGCATCGTACACTGAACAGCATCGAAAACTGATGCCGATTCACCACTGTCCACCACGGAAATGTTTGACAGAATATTTTTGTGCATAACTTCAAGATAAAAAATCGATCTCGATCCGAGCGTCACCTAGCGAGGACTACAGCAGACAATCTCACGCTTTCGTATTGGGAACGATCATCGCATATTTATGTCTTTCGAATAACAAACAAGCAAAAGTCTGCTAGTATCGTACCGTTAATATTCGCCGAATTTCGAAGCGGACACGTCGTACAAAATGCGCGGAATCATTCTGCTCAGTAAGAACGCATAATTATGATACAACTGGACCGGTGTTCGAGAATCGAAATAATGCGAGGTACGTACTAGGTATATGTACCGAGTGCGATCAATAAATTATTGAGAAAGTCTTGTCAAAAATATATTTGCGAAAATGTTCCAGCATTACGACAACATTTACAAACATATTTTCATCCATTTGGAATTTATTTAAAATATACTCGTTCTGTCAGGATGTATTAACTTCTGCATGTTAATATACCATAACCGAAACGTACTCGGGGTACGGTCTAAAGATGCATTGAATGACAGTCAACAAGGTGTGTTCTATCAGCGATTATCAAGTGTCAAAGAAACTTGTACAATGGGAATAGGTATTGTCTCTTAATCAACTCATTGTTTAAGAAAATTCCTTCAAGAAAATGTTCGATCGGCATTGGTTTCTTACCCGTAATATTTTCTACTTACGAAGTACGAGTTCTTAGATTTATGTCCAACAAAATTGTTCGTGTTTATTTTTGTCGTTAGCATATTTCTCTTACCGAATTTAATATTTTTCGGTTCGAACATTTAACATTTCATACATAAATTCATACGTGATCGTATGTTGTATTTAAGGTTACATATAATTAAATGTTTTATCTACACGCTTTCTTTCAATAGTTTGAAGATCTTTTTTTAAATACTGTCTTAAAATAACATTGAACAATATTTTTTAATGGAGCGTACGACTGTTTATATTTCGTAGTATTTTTTAGAAACAATTTCTAATAAATAACCACCGCTCGACAATTAAAGTTACCCTAAAAGGACTGGTAATTGCCATGCAAGATGTATCTTCTAGTTTGACCTTGAAATTGTTGTGTACTTTGTCAGCAATGCATGCAGTTGAGAATATTATAAATACTTTATTTTTTAGCAATTTTAATCAAAATATTATAGCTGTGCATCGGTTATTCATAAATATTTCATTTATATATGTGCACAAAAAAGGTTGAACATCATAAAAAAATAGTTCCTAATTGTAATAAACTAACAAAATGTTAAACATTTGGAAAGAACCATATCACTTTGAGCATCCACCTCCCCTACAATAGATTCGTACGTAGACTAACATTGGTAAATATTGATTTTATACATTACAGGTGGACAAGTATGAAATATTAAACATGTCTCATGGCTGGAGGCAGGAACAACAACAAGCGAAGTGGAAATTTAGACAGAACACATCAATGGCACTGTTGCCATCAACCGTATGCTTCTGTCGTGCCTGAACTTCCTTCGAGCATTACATTTAAAAAGTATCAGCTTGCCGAGAAGAATCGCATTATTGCAAAAAGTCTTAGCGATCTACAAAATAATATTTGGAGGTAAAGCAATATTATATATATATATATATATTCGATCATTAATTAAATAATCCCAGAACTAATTCGTCTAAAAGAAAGCTAGGGTCAAAGAATATGTACACAGTAAATGATTATATAATACACATGAGATAATAATTATCAAGAAAAAGGAAAGAAAAAGTTGTTTCTGATCAACAAAAGTATTAATATTACATATGCATGTTGTATTTACAGTAACAGATATCTAATAAAATTATAAAATATCTAAAACTCCTGATGTTTTGAAACTGTAAAAAGACTGTAAAAATTTTGTTATGATATTTTTATATTATATATTAATTGTTGCATCCATTTAAAGTTTGTCTTTATGATTATGATTATATATTGTTATTATTCTTATTAATATTAATCTGTAACCGATAAGAATGCGTGTATAAAGTCATTTATGTGTAGAGGGTATAAACTCTTGAATACATAAACTGAATGGAGTGTTTTATTGTAGAATATTTACGGACTCCTTGTATTGTGATCTTAACATAATACATGGATATAATATAATACGAACAAACCAGTGTGTCGTTAAAACCAGAGCACCACATTTTTATAAGGTTCTCCAACCTTATTTTATATACGTTAATAATCATATTGATTGCATCCTTGATAAACCAGGAATTTTTCATCATATTCAAGGCTTTGTGAGGTATCGCCATATCGCTAATCATATGCCTAGAGGCAGTATCTATGAGAATATGTATATGATATTATTTAAATTC